CAGGAGGAGGCATTGGAGTGCTGGGGACATCCTGGCCTGTGCTCTCCTGCTGCAGGGACACACAGACACAGCAGAACTCTGGGCATGTCTGGGGTCCCAAACCAAAATCCAGTGATTTAGGAATTGTAATTAAGGGTGCTCAACAATGAAATCGTTTTAGGAGCATCTGGAGGAAGCTGGATAGTTGACCTAAAGCCAAAAAGCAGAAGGCTTCTTCTTGCTGCAAGCTGGGGTGGGTTTTTTTTTGTTTGTGTGCTTTTTGGCTTTTGTTTGTTTGTTTGTTTGTTATGGGGGGCTTTTTTGTTTGTTTTTGGGTGGGGGTTTTTTGGGGGGGTTGTTTTTTTGGGTTGTTTTGTTTTTTGTTGTTGTTTTTTTGGTTTGGTTTGGTTTTTTGGTTGTTTTTGGGTTTTTGGTTTGGTTTGGTTTGGTTTGGTTTGGGTTTTTGGGGTTTTTTTTTTTGTTTTTTTGGTTTGGTTTGGTTTGGTTTTGTTTTTTAATCTGAAGAGGAACCACCTGCAAGCTCAGGGATGATCCCAGGAGAAGCGGGGCAGTGCCAGGCTCTCCTCAGGGCACTTGGTGATGGAGGAGATCCCACACATGGCTCCACCTGATGAAAGCATTGGCACCCTCCCTGTCTCAGCACTGTGACCCCACTGCCCTCCCTGGCACCCAGGGTGTCCAGCCAGCCCCCAACTGATCCCAAAGCCACACCTGGGATGTCACCAGGTGGGAAAACCCTCCTCTCCCCTGCACCCACTGCACCCTTGTGGTGCTGCAGGAAGGTGCCAGTCCCTGTGGGTGCTGGCAGAGCCCCTGGCCAGGGCAGCCCCCCCAGCAGCCTCAGCCCCAGGGCACCCCCAGAGAGGTGTGGGGAGGGCTGCTGGAGGCTGTGGCACCACGGGCTGGGACAGCAGAGCCAGGTTTTCAGGCTCTGCCTTTGAACTCCGTGTGCTCCAGGGCATCTCTTTCCTCCCTGGGGCCCGGGGGGGCCTGGCCAGCCCCTCCTCACCACTGCAGCCCATGTGTTGGAGGGGCTGAGGAGCCACAAACCCACCTGAGGCCTGTTGTGCCTCAGTTTCCCCACCTCCAGGGGCATTAGAAATGCTTCCCGTGGGTCCTCTCCTGCTTTCCAGGCTGCCTGGAGTGTGCTGGCACCGTGTCCCTGGTGCTGGGGGATGCTCCAGCCTCTGGCCCTGGCCCTACTCCACTCCCTGGCTGGGTCTCTGGGCTGTTGATTTGGTTTTCAGTCTCGGGGTGACTTTCCCTCTGCAGAGACATTCAGCCCTCCCAGGGGCACACCTTCCCCACCCTCACTGCAGGCTGGGCTCTGACCCCCAGCCCCTGAACCCACTGAGAGTGGATCAGGCAGGTGTGGGTGTCTGCTCAGAGGAAAATCCCAAACCTGGAGGCCTGGGGAGCTCTAAAGTCCCTGGGGGATGTGGGGTCCAGGCTGGGACCCTGGGTGTGTTTTGGTCTGGATGAAGGGCTCGGGATGGGGATGGAAAACCTTGACTTTCCCTGGACCTGGACCTGAAATGCTGACAAAGGGATTTGTGTTCTCTTATTGTCCTTCCCTTCCATTGACTGCCTGAATTTCTCCCCAGCTCTCGGGGACCGTGGTCTCTCTGCTGCCTGATCATCAGTGCCCAGGGATGTGCCACAGCCAGGGCTGGTGCTTACACACCCTTCTTGATCACCTTCTCTGCCAGCTCCTTGCTGGCAGCTGGAAAACAAAAAATATCTATTTACAGGGAGCAAGAGAGCAGAAAAATTGTAAAAAAGGAGTCACACTGGATAAAACTGGTAACTTTGGGAACCCCTTGCTCTCCCCACCATGGCACAAGCTTGGGATGCTCACCCAGCTTTGATTGAGCCCCACTGAACCCCCTGACTCCGGGAGCTGGGGATTTAGGGGAAGCCCCAGGACAATGATCCTTGCCCTGGAAATGCAGTGTAAGCACCAGCACCTTCCTGAGCACCCCACTCCCTCCTGACGTGTGCAGGGACCTGGTCTGGGGCTTGTCCACACAGGGCACCACACCTGAAGCATTTCCTGTGGATGGTCCCACCATCCCTGCAGTCCCTCGTGTCCCTGCCCTGACACTGGGATGGTGCAGTGCTCCCTTTTTGCAGGGTTTGGGTTTTGGTTCCATCTGCACTCCCAGCCTGGCCCCCTCCCCTCCACTCCCAGCCGGGGGTCTCGGTAAACGCAGCTCTGAGGGCCCGAGGCAGCTTGGCTGGGTGGAACCCCCCAGTGCCTGTTCCTGCAGAGCTTGCAGGGTGAGCCTGGCCTTGCAGGGTGAGCCGGGCCTTGCAGGGTGAGCCTGGCCCCCCGGCCTTGCAGGGTGAGCCGGGCCTTGCAGGGTGAGCCTGGCCTTGCAGGGTGAGCCCGGCCTTGCAGGGTGAGCCCGGCCTTGCAGAGTGAGCCCGGCCTTGCAGGGTGAGCT